ATATATATATATAATAAACAATAAGAAATCAATACAACCAGAGAATAAGAGAGAGGAGGAAAAACAACGCAGTCAACCAACAATCACAAACATTGATTTTAACATTTAGCCTGTCTAAAATGATTACACAATATCCCTTTCATAGCATGATCATCTTAAAGGGATGAAACCCCAAAATGTTTGCTAAGAGAGATCTATCAACACAGTTTAAAACAATGTTAACTTTAAAATTCTTTTATGTTTCATGTGTTTTTGGAACATTTGAATTATTTTGACCATTTTAGAGTGTAAAGGTGTAGCTACACTGCAGAATTAAGGCAATTTGAGAGCACTTCAACTGCCAGGACTTATCCCACAGAATCCTGGGATTTGTAGTTTGGTGGGGTATTGACCCTGGTCTGGCAGAAAGCTTTGGTGCCCCACCAAACTACAAATCCCAGGATTCTTTGGGATAATCCATGGCAGTTAAAGTGGCCTCAAATGGCTTTAATCCTGCAGTGTGGCTACCCTTGTAACAGTTTGAACTGGCTTTATTGAAAGCCAGCTAGAGATTTTCTGATATAAGACAGGATATAAATCTTTTAATAAATAATAAAGAAAATGAATTAATGAATCACCCGCCTTGCATGGAAAGAGCTTTCTGAGCTGCCATCATCCCAGACAAAACTGTGTTAAAGTGACTAATGATCTGACAGTAGAAAGCAGCTTCCAGAGTAACTAGTTATAAATACAGCTATACCTGAGTTGACAAAGTAGATTTGTTCCTGGGTATGACTTCTTTAACAAAAACTTTGGTACCAGAGGCAGAAATAACATGGAAAGAAAAGGGATAGAGCCAGTTCGGAGTAGTGGTTTGAGCATTGGACTATGACTTTGGAAATCAGGTTTCAATTCCTGGCTTGGACATGAAACTCACTGGTGACCTTGGGCAAGTCACATTCTCTCAGCTTCAGGTGAAGGCAATGGCAAATCTCCTGTGAACAAATCTTGCCATGAAAACCCCATAATAGGATCACCATAATTCTAGGGGGTTGGACTGGATAGCCCTTGGGGTCTCTTCCAACTCTATGATTCTATGATAAGTTGGAAACAATTTGAAGGCATACAACTCATACACACACAGGTTCCAACACAATGAGGAAAAAAGACCAGGTCAGCAAACTTTAAATTCAAAACTTTAAATTCAGATGCATGAAATTAAACCAGGTCAGGGAACCGCTGCCCATGCAAAGAAAAATATTTTCAACTTTCTAGAAATCATTTTAAAGATTTTTCCAAAATACATCCAAGGATGATTTTTTAAAAAAATCTTTTTGGTCTCCACTTTTCCTATGATTTCTAATTGAGTGGCCAAAAATACAAATCTATTTAAAAAAAAACATGAGTTACTTTTACAATTATAGGGGATGTGAAGGTGGTAAAGGAGATAAATATGATTTGAGTTATGTGGTTCATGTACTGCTTCATGATCTCTGGAAATGCTGAGTTTTACTTTTTAAAAGGAGATTACTTTTAATGGAAGAGTGAAAATAAGAGGAAGAAATAGGAGGGAAAAGATCCTAAAATGAAAAAATAAACAACTTGGCACAAAAGTCAGAATCATACAAGCCATCGTATTCCCTATTCCCATGGATGGATGTGAGAGCTGGACAGACAAGAAAAAAGACAGGAGGAAAATCAATGCCTTTGAGAGAATGTGGAGCTGGAGAAGAGTGCTAAGGATCCCATGGACAGCCAAAAGGACAAACAAATGGGTCCTAGAGCAGATCAAGCCAGAGATACCCCTAGAAACCAAGATGACAAGACTTAGACTGTCGTACTTTGGATACATCATGAGAAGGCATGAATTGTTGGAAAAGACAATAATGTTAGGAAAGGTGGCGGGAAATAGAAAGAGAGGAAGGCTAGATGCTAGATGGATGGACTTTATTAAAGAGGCCACAAATAAGAGTTTACAAGAGCTGGGCAAAGCAGTAAGGACAGGAGATGTCTCATCCATAGGATCGCCATGGGTCGAGATCAACACAAAGGCAGTTAACAACAAAAAACTAACCATTGAATAGTAGTAGTAGTTGAAAAGTAACGAACAGTAGCTTTTAACTACCATTGAAAGATGAGAAAGTCAGTTGTTGCTTTTAAACAATTGCAACTGGAATTGCAACAGGATTGTTGTGAGGATAAAAAAATGTGGATGGGGGAACCATGTACCCTGCTTTAAGCTTCTTGGAGGAAAGACAGGATACATACAAATGTAACAAATATATAGAAAATAAATATTATTTCAGTCATCATTGTACACACCCAAGAATTTTTAAAATAGGAGTAGGATCACCAGAATGAAAACTGGAAAGGACTTCTGTATCTTTAATGGCTGTGTAGAAGAGGGTGACCCTGGGCAGGTCACACTCTCTCAGCCTCAGAGGAAGGCAATGGCAAGCTCCCTCTAAAGAAATCTTCTAAGAAAACCCCGTGATAGATTCACTTTAGGGTCACCATAAGTTCGAAGTGACTTGAAGGCACACAACAGCAACAGAAGAAAGAATTTCAGCCTCTGTTGCTTGTTACCTAGTTGTGGGACAAGCAACAACTGCTGAAATTTCCTAGTCTACACAACCATTAAAGGAACAAGAGCCCTCTCCTGTTTTCACTCTGGCAACCCTATAAGGGAAATGCTTGCTTGCTTTCTTTCTTTCTTTCTTTCTTTCTTTCTTTCTTTCTTTCTTTCTTTCTTTCTTCCTTCCTTCCTTTCCTTTCCTTTCCTTTCCTTTCCTTTCCTTTCCTTTGGGGATCATTCATCAGGGGTTGTTTGCTTGGTAAATTTATCTCCGTGTGTTTAGAACAGTGCCAATGATAGAGTATCCATAGTAGATTTAGAGGTGGGGAAACCAGTAAAGCAGAACTGATAGCCCTTCATAATTATAATTATTTTCAAGGCATGCGGGGAGATGCTCTGAATCCCACACGCTAGTCGGGTACCACACATGAAAGACCGCCTCGGCAAACAAACAGCTGGCGGTGATGCCATGGCCTATTAGCTGAGCCGTTCATCTTGCGAGATTCTGCAAGCATGGAATTCCACATGGAATCTATTATCTGGTACAGAATTTTAATTGATGAGATTTTTTTTAAACTGTAATGTGCTTGTTTTATTTTATTTGTAGGGGGAAAAAAACATTGAAGGGTTCCCACCCACTCACACTTGCAGAGTATGCTTGAATATGGCCAAGATTTGGCCTTGCTAGAAGGTACAGCGAGGCAGCTGCTTCAAGTGGTAAATGCTGGGTGGCATCAGTGGCAGTTCCCATCTCTCCTTTTGAATCCCCTGACTTATGAATCTATCCTTCCTTCCTTCCTTCCTTCCTTCCTTCCTTCCTTCCTTCCTTCCTTCCTTCCTTCTTCTTGCCTTCCATCTTCCTTCCTTCCTCTCTTTCCTTCTGCCTCTTACTCCCACCATGACACCAACCCAACTTTTGTTACTGTTTTATTTCTTTATTTTGCTAAAAATGGCCCCCATGCCCTCGATTTAAGTCCCAAGTGAAGCCTTTATCCAACCAAGAAGTCAGCTTTTGGATTACTGCCTAGTATTAGAAAAGGAGTTTTCTGGGCTTTGGTGGGGCAAGCACTTGGCAACATTTTCCCTTTTAGTGGGCATGGAAATAAAATTGGAGAGAGGGCCCTGTGAGCCTCAAAAACACCATCCATTCCCCTGCCTTTAACTGTCCTGCTACCCTCTGGTTTTGGAAGTTTCTATCTAGTTGCCACATGTTGAAGTGAAATCTGTCTGTTACAGTCAATTTCTCTGTACAAGTTGAGTCTCTCATATCTGAAATACTTGGGACCAGAAGTATTTGGGGTTCCAATTTTTTTCAGATTTGGGAATATCCACATATGCATAATGAGATAATGACCCTAATCTACACGTTAACTTCATTTATGTTTTGATATACCCATTTATGGTTTAATATATCCGCCTTATACCCATAGCCTGAAATAATTTAATAATTTTAGACACAGTGTGTTTAATAATTTTGTGCATGAGACAAAGTTTGTGTAGAGCGAACCATCAGAAAGCAAAGAAGTCACTGTCTCACCCATCCATGTGGACAGTTTCAGATTTTGGAATTCTGGTTATGGAGTCTCAACTTGTACATGGATTGAAGGAGCTGCCGTTTTGTCTTTAACTCAGGCAGCAAAATATACCTGTTTATCTCCCCCTCTGAAGGTACAGATCTATGCCATCCAACACCCTTCTAGCTGTTCTCTTGGGGAGA